ACACTAGGCTCTATTTTTCTGGTCTGACAATTCATCACGAGTGTATACATAAAGAATATTGGAGTAACAAAATAATTTCATAACTTTTTAGCGTGTAAAAGTGAAATATGAAAGTTCTACAGGATCACGTTGTTTTACGTGTGTAAACAAGAAGAAAAAAGGATAATCCCTGAGATATTCTATTTAAGAGTAAATAATGTCGAGGAACGCGCTCCAAAATTTAATTCTTCAACGCCAACTTAGAGTCTTTCATAATCAGATCGAATTTTTATTAATTGGTGGTCGTTGGTAGTCCAGTTAATTCGAGACGTTGAAGTTGTCCGGTTAATTTTACAGTATATAGGTGTATATTTCTTTCTCTCTCGCAGAATTTTGCCAGAACTGCAAATTGGTCAGACTCTGATTAGAGGGACTCTACACGAGCTGATCAAACAGCGCAATCTGCGCCGTATTGGCTCGCGATAATGTTCTTGCTCAATTCTTGCAAGATTAACCGTGCCCGTCGGTGACGACGGGTTTTCATTATTGTGCGTCATTCTATTGTCTCGCAAATCGCGTCTGTTTTATTTTTGCATTCCAATATGCGAGTACAGGGTAAATGCACGCGTGCACGATACACCGTCGCGATAACTGCAGAGCGCATTAAATGCATCTACAATGTCGGCGAAGTTGCGACAACGGACAATGTATTGTAGAATCGGCCTCACCGGTTGCATTAGTTGCCACTTTATCGCGTGTATGGAAACATTTCATGAAAAAGACGTAACTGACACGTACGTCGGCGAAAGTTTCCGTCTCGAAATTCCTAACGCCGTGACTTTTCCCATAGTTTTAGCCTTAAGTCAAACAGAACTGTTGAAGCGAAATTAAGTGAATAGTATGAAAGAAATGTCATAGATTTCGCAAATTCATATTTGATATGATAAACAATTGAAAATTTTATCTTTTCTTTCCTTAAAAGTATATTCTATAATACCGATGATAAATTGTATAAAGTAAATAGAAATAATTTGCATATAATTCTGAAAAATGTAAAAATACGTTCAACTTGCAGATATAGGATAATTAAACGACAAAAGACAGAGATGTGTGTATTACAAAAGACTATTCTATTTATAAACCTAATCATACGAGATGAAGTTCCGAAATAGCTATACGCGTTAACTTTCACGTGCTCAACCGAAACTGCCCGATATCGCCCAAAATTCCGTAAATATCGCTCGAAATAGCGTTTGTGATAAGCGATCGTTCATTCGGATTTAATCATGCGTGGCTTTTATCATCATCCGGGGGCGGATTTTGTCATCCGCCACGATATCACGCATATTATACGAGTAATAAAGAAGGAATCGTTAACTATCGATGTTGACGACATCGCTCGGGAACTAAAACGATCGCTGCCGCGATCGAATCGATTTAGGAAGTGGATAGAATAATACTGCAATGTTATTGCCGAGAGCGAAGTGTAGAACTCGTTCGTTCGATCGCGGCATATATTTCATTACAGAGAAATGAGCATTTAATAACGAAATGGACGCGAAAAAACGAACTAGAAGGTGAGAAGACTGAATCGTGTTACAATTGTGCAGTCGGTCGCGTATCGCGGAATCAAAATTGACTCTTTTTCTTCTGTTATCGCCTCGTTACTTCAGAAATAATGTTTTTCTTGTCTTCTGTATCCTATCGTAATGAGACCGCCGATGTTTTTAATTTTGACATAAACGCAACAATACCAAACAATATTGATACGAATAAAAAAATCAATAAGAAATACAAAAAAAAATGACAAGACTAAATTTTAGCTAAGAAATATCGATAATATTTTTTTCAAATTGGTATAGAAACACAT